ACACCGATTCCCAAGGCACCCTCAAAGAAGCCCCAAAAAAAAAAATTTTTCCTCTTGAAAATAAACGGCGAGAAAACAGCCCCAAAAAAAAAAGGGGCCCCGGGGAATGTACCCCAAAATTCATTGAGGGACACCCCCCCGCCCCCCCCCTACCATGTGGTGAAGCCTCTGGGGGGGTCGCCCCCCCCCCCCCCCCAGCATGTGGTGTGAGTAGAAGCGCGCCCCCCTCCCTGGAAGCGATGTGCGCCTGCTCCGACCACACGCTCGATGTGGTATCTGCTTTTTGCTAAAAACGGGCCGCCTAGTGCAGCATCACTAGTACAACACGCAACCACACTGATAGCTCCACACTTAGCCGGTATAGGCGAGCACCGGCGGCCTCACCCTCGCCGCTCGCGGCGGAGCCGACGGCGGAGCCACGGGCCGGTGCGACCTTTTGGGGGGACATGAGCTCGCCAGGACGTCGCCGGCTCCGCGGCTGGCGGCTCGGCGGCAGGGGCGGGCGGCGCCGCAGGGCTCGCGCTCGCAGGCGGCTCCGTGGCCTGCGCCTGCCGCTCGTGGCGCACGGCGCGCTCGAGCTGCGAGTGCGGGTGCAGCTGTACGATGACGTCGCCGCTCTGCGTCGCGGTGAAGGAGACCGAGTACGGCGCTTCGCCGTCGTTCTTCTTCTCCACGTAGACGAGCGCGTAGTCGCACACCTGTCGTTGGTGGTCAGTGAAGATGGTCTCTGTGCAGCGCTCGGCGGAGCCGACGCGAGAGAAGTGCCGCCTGAACGCCATGCGTTCAGGCGCTGTTTGAATCTTCGTGTGTTTTTTCGTGTGTTAGTGCCCCGGAACTCGGTAGAAATTCTTTTCCAGGCCCACGCTCCGCAGCGCGTTTGGTGCGGCATGGGCAAGCGCGACAGCAAGGCGGCCAAGGCGAAGCGCGCGGAGCGCAGAGGCAAGGGAGCGCTCAAGACGGAGGAAAAGACTGCCAAGGGCGAGCAGAAGCAGAAGCGGCGCGATGCCAACCGCCAGGACGACGAGGACCTCGAGAAGGCGAGACGGAGCCTGCTTCATCTCGGCGGTTGAGCCTCACGCGCCGCCTCAACCCTGACCCGCGCACACTGCAGGTTCTCAAGGAGTTTGCGGCGATGCAGGCCGACGAGGCGAAAGTCGGCGAGCAGGCGGTGCCGCCGCCGTCGCCGCGGGCCAACGGCTCTCTGACGCTGCACCCGAGCGGCAACGAGCTGCTCCTCTTCGGGGGCGAGCACTTTGACGGCAAGAAGAACACCTTCTACAACGAGCTCTACCGCTACTCGATCAAGCGCAACGACTGGCGGCTCGTCACCTCCAAGCGAGCGCCGCCTCCGCGCTCGTCCCACCAGGCGCCGGATCCCGCGCCCTCTCCGCGACCACACTCGTCACCGCGGAGGACCGGCGCCGGCATGGCTGCGAGAAGAACATCCCTACCTCGACACGAGTCCGCCGCTGCGGTGGCCTCGCCACTCACCGTCCCAGCCTCTCCCCGCGGCCAGGCGGCGGCCGTGCCGACGGGCGGCGGCTCGCTCTTTGTCTTTGGTGGCGAGTTCTCGAGCGCGAACCAGAGCCAGTTCTACCACTACCGCGACCTCTGGTGCCTCGACCTCGCCACCTACGTCTGGGAGCAGGTGCAGGCGAAGAACGGCCCCTCGGCCCGCTCGGGCCACCGCATGGTCCACTGCCGCGACCGGCTGCTCGTGTTCGGAGGCCTTCCAAACCAGACGCGTCCTAGACACTTCCTAGACACTTCCTAGACGCTGCTCGTGTTCGGAGGCCTTCCAAACCAGACGCGTCCTAGACACTTCCTAGACACTTCCTAGACGCTGCTCGTGTTCGGAGGCCTTCCAAACCAGACGCGTCCTAGACACTTCCTAGACACTTCCTAGACGCTGCTCGTGTTCGGAGGCCTTCCAATTCAGACGCGTCCTAGACACTTCCTAGACACTTCCTAGACACTGCTCGTGTTCGGAGGCCTTCCAAACCAGACGCGTCCTAGACACTTCCTAGACACTTCCTAGACACTTCCTAGACACTTCTCGGGGCCTCGCTGCAGGCTTCTTCGACAACCTTCGCGACGTCAAGTACTACAACGACGCGCACGTCTTCGACCTCTCCCTCTACCAGTGGTGAGGCCGCCCCGCCACTTCTCGCACAGCGGAGACTCCGACTCGCACCAGCCGAGACTCGCGCTCCAATGTCACACCCGAGCTCCTACACAGCTCCAACTCGGACGCAGCCCCAACTTACACGCAGCTCCAACTCACACGCCTCCTCCACACCACCGACAGAGAAGCACACCTACGGCACGCCGGCTAAACACTTTCTCCCGCTGTTTTGGCTCCCGCTCACTCCTCCTCCGCCTATAGAGTGAGAGACAGACTGGCGGACAGATCGGCCTGCATCTCCCACCCGCCCCTCGCCCGTCGGCTCGCCCCTCACAGGCACAAGCTCGTCACTGCTCCGGGCGACCCCGTGCCACAGCCTCGCTCTGGCTGCTCTCTGGCGGCAGACCCGGCGGCGGCGGCTCCTAGACGCGCAGCTCACGCGCCAAGTAATCCGTCTAGCACACGGAGACGGCGTGTTCACCTGTACCTGTGTTGCAGCCGCGCCGCGAGCGTATCCATCGCACTCCTAGTCCTTGAGTTCACGCGACGCGCGGAGAGCGGTGCCGGAACCCGCCTTCCCCCACTTCAGTCTGGTCGCACTCCAGGCGGGGGCGGTCTTTCTGTACGGCGGCTACTACAAGAAGAAGGTTGCGATGCAGCAGTTCGACTCGCACAAGGACAAGGCGGCGGTCGAGGAGCTCTCCGAGACGGGGGTATTGTGCCGGCACTCGCGTCGTACACTTTCTTTCCTTTGGCCTGACCGCCTTGTTCTTTTCCCACAGGTCGAGTTCCGGGACACCTGGCGCCTCGACCTCTTTGGTGCGTGTGCCACCACT